CCGGGGAGGAGTCTAGACCCAAGCCAAGGAGTCTAGACCCAAGCCAAAATGAAGCAACAGGGTTTTTAAGTGGAGCAAATTTTATTGCATGGAATAATAACGGGGAGTGTTAAGGGCTGAGGTCCGTGTCGGAGGTGCTGCCACGCCTGTGCCAGGGGAAGAAGGTGAAGCACGGCTGCTGGGTTTGGCTGGGGGGAAGCTGGCCTGCCAGGAAAGGGTCCCCACAACCCACAGACTCGTGCACATGTGGGACCAGCCCGATTAGCTGTACTGTTGAGGCTGGTCGTTGTAAGACTAAGAGCTCAGGATGGCAGCAGTAGCAGGAGGGTGAGGATGACTTGGTGAAGATGACTTGCAGTTACACAAAGAACGTGCAAACTTCAGTCCAGGGATTATGCAGACTGGCTCAGTAAGGCTGCACACAGTCACCTTTATTTTAGATATGGTGTGTCTACCACGAGCTTGGTAAAAAAACAACAACTTCGTGGCATCAATCAAGTACACTGTACAGCAGTGATGATTCCCAAACACAAAAGGGCATCAGACACACACTGGGATGGAGAGCTTGTTTTGGTCGCTGCCTGCACAGGTTGTGACCACATTAGCAGTGGAGAGTGCACTGGTGTCCTGGTAAGCATCACTTTGGACTGAATTACTTGCCACTGAACGTAGGTGCTAATTAAAGTTTGGAAGCATTCTTTTTTTTTCAGGTTAATCCGTTAAATACTACAACAAAGCCATAGGTAGAAGATGCAGGAAGACTGGTGTCTAAGAACAGCTGTATACCTCCTATGTCACAGAGAACTGAGGCAAGCTAGGCAGTCAGCAAAGTCCATTAACACTCAGTATTTCACACACAAGAGTGGCATTCACAGTGTTGACTGGTGTAATCCTAAAAGGACCACGGAGGGGCTCTTAAAAAGAATCAGGTCAGTTGCACGGTCAGTTGGTGATACTGCTGCACTGGCATTTTTCACTGTGGATTTAAGAGAACTTCTTCATGAAGTGCAGTTTCAGGTAGGCAATGGTGAGGAAGATGAGGGTCATGCAGGCCAGAGCCAGGTGGTTTTGCCACAGGCCCCAGGTGCTCGCGTCGATGCCTTGGCTTTCCAGGTACTCCTCCCCAGTGCACGGCCTGCAGGGAACACGTTGATAAACTCGGTCAGTTTGAGGGACCTGGAAGACCCCTCGGAGCTGGAGTGTGATTTCATGTCTGCAGGGGGCCAAGCAAACACCAGCTCTATGCTGACAACTGATTTGCTCTTTGTAAACTTATCTTGTAGCTACAATCAGTTTCCTGCAGGAAGCTGATGGGGTTTGTGAGGCTGTGTAGCTGTAGTGTGTGTGTTTCAGTACATGCAGTTTAAATAAAAGTGAGGAGCATAATGCCAGATATTTCTAGTCTTATACATACTAAATATGATGATAACCAGAAAGTTCTCTGCAGACAGAATGCAAAATCCCAGTCAAAACTTAATTTTCCATATAAACCCACAGATTCTGCTGGTCACCAGTGACTACCTCACAAAGAGGCTGATGCTCCAGGCCTTTTAAGTCACTTATGGTGGGATTCATTTAATGTACCACAACACTTACATCAGGCTTAGCTGGTAACTACTGTTGCCAATCAAGTTTGTGTTGTTGCTGCCGCAGAAGTTCAGACCAGTCAGTTCATTGATTTGTAAAGCCTTTTAAAGTAAAACAATGACAATATAAATATATCAACAAGATGAGATACAATTCCATTAATATTTATTCTAAAAATTGATGGGGTCACCGTTTCTTATGTTGGCCAAATTCTCATTTTTAAACCAAACAGCACAGTTCTGTTCCCTCTAGGAGAGGAGTGTGTGAGGCTCACACCCTCTGATGCACCAGGCTTTAACTCCTCCCTTAGGCCAGGCTATTTCTGCACAGGCATACCAAAGCCCAGATGTCTCTGTGAAACCTCACCCTGTCTTAAATTATCAAAAATGAGGAGAAAAATTTTAGCCGAACAAGTTTTTGTTTGATTTATGGAAGAGAGAAGGATCAGGGGTAACATTGTTCTTTACTCTGTACCAGTTTCATCCAGCTGCATTCCAGTGGATGTGGTTGTCTGGTGTCTGCTTCCAAGTTACAGAAATGAGCTCCTCTAAAGAGCAAGGGGTGTTGGTTGATGAGGCCTTTCTTATTTAAGATGCTGCGCTGCAATTTGAGGTTGCTGTATTTAATTAGCTTGCCTTTTGCTCATTAGCTCATAAAATTTAGAGTTTTCTTTGTGCTGAGTAAAGACATCCCTTTCTAGCAGGTTTTCCCCAGGTCTGCACGCAGGCAGATGCAGCACTCACTGCCAATCCGTATCGAGGGATGCTGAAGTACTTGAGCCAGGAGAGCCAGGACATGACGCTTGTGAGATTGACCAGCAACCCAGAGAAAATCTAGAAACAAGGGTTACAAAAAAGCCACAACGACAAAACAAATGACATGCTGTTACCAGCTGGTTTTCTCTAGCTCCTGACTCTGCTTCTTCAGATGGAAAACAAGTGGGAAGGCATTTCTAGAGAAACAAACCCTTCCAGTGGAAGAAAGGGGAGAGGGAAAGAATAATTTCTGATACCTAGCTCTGGGCCGTAACCCCACGTGGCCCTTCTCCCAAAATGAGTAATGGGGAATGCTTTCACCGTGCCTCAAAAACGGGTGCTTCCCATCTGTGGACCCCCTGGGCTCACACTCTGCTGCTGCCCGGGTGTGGAGCTGCAGGAGCTGGGCTGGGTGTTGCTGGAGCCTGAGGCAGCGTGGGTTGGGCTGTTGGTTCAGCACTGCCCGTCCTCTGACTGTAGCTCTGGGGGTCCTGTCCTAAGGGGCCCGGTGCTGCAGCCGAGGAAGGGTATTTACAGTAGTGGTCCCAAGAGAGCACGGGGCCATGTCCTCAGCCAGCCACCTTTGTCTCTGGCAAAGCTAGAGGAGAGTGAATAAAGCACAGCTCTTGGCTGCTTTTCTGTTTCCCAGACAGTACACTGGCTGCTAGAGCCCTGGAGAGGGCAGGGGACCCACCCTCCATCCCTCCCTCATACCCACCCTCCATCCCTCCCTCACACCCACCCTGCCACCCAGCCTCCCAGTCCCTGGACTCTTGTTAGTTAAAGAGACAAATTGGAATATTTGTCCCCACAGTCTTGAAATATTCAAATCAGATAAATCAGGATATTCAACATGCTCGACCCTGTTTGCAGAATTCAGCTGAACTCTGTGCTGGTAAGATTTTTAGATCTCAGCATTTCTAGGATTTCATGGTTCAGTCTAGGAAAGTGAATGATGCTACTCACAATCATAAAAACAAAGGTGATGGTCATGAGCAGGTTTGCTACGGCGACCACGCTCTGTCCTGCTGCAATGGCCAGGGCCATAGAAGTGGCTGTGTAGGACACCATCATCAGGGTAAACATCATTGTGAAGAAGGCTTCTGCTGTTGGTTTCAAACCTTAAAGATCAGAACAAGAAGGGTTTCAGCATGACCCTGCCAAAAGCTCAGCCACAGGGTATCCTGCCTGTGGAAAAGGTTCTGTCTGACAGCACAGGCTGGGTCTCTGAGACCCCAGACTGCAGCCTGGCTGTGAGATGTGCATGCCCTGCCAAGAGAGGACAGTGTGCCTGGAAGGGCAGTAACTGGAGACAGAACAGCTGCTACTGTACTCCACACACAGCAAGGTGGAGGCTTCAGGCTGTCTACCAAAGGAGAAATTTCTGGTGCACTTCTGTGGGCAGCAGTTGTGCAGCATTTCACTTGTCCTCAGCAGAGAGCTCTCCTAGTGGACCTGGTGCCTTTTGGGTGGCTGTGGATTTGGCAGCAAGGTCTGTCCAGTTTCACCATCTGAGAGCCTCTTGCTTACGTGGCCTTATTTCCTGTGACTTAGGGGAAAACACTCTGACCAAAGCAAACTATGCTTAGTTTTAAACTTTGCTTGCACTTTAAAGCTTTTGGGACATTCCAAAAGGATGTTGTGGTCTGAAACCTTACCCTAAGAAAATGGTCTGCTTGGAACGTGTGCTGAGGATGATGTTTGGAGGTGTTCTAGGGTTGTGAAAGTTGGTGTGGGCAATTTTCAGCCTGCTCACCAACCAGAAGTCATTTCACCAAAAAGAACAAGCTGACACCTATTCATACAGTACTGGCTCTGAAAACAAAACTTCTGCATTGGCAATTTTCAGCCTGCTCACCAACCAGAAGTCATTTCACCAAAAAGAACAAGCTGACACCTATTCAGTACTGGCTCTGAAAACTTCTGCACTGATAGATGTTCTTGCAAGGGTGGATAAAGTGTCTTGTAAGAGCCACTGGAAGCTAAGGTGGCCATAAATGAACAGGAAGGAGTCAAACCAAGGCAGTAATGGTTATGGCACGCTTCCCTCTGGGGACAGTGGAAGTCAGACACGTCACAGACTCTGACCTGAGCCCTTCAGTTTTTGGAAGAGTCTTTCCTGCAGACACGTGGTGTGCCAAAGCCACACACAGCCACCGTGCCACGCAGGGCTCCATCCATGGGCACGTGGGCAGTGTGAGGGGCTGACTGAGGTACCCAGGGGGCTGGAGGGCACCACAGAGGACTGTACTTGCCTAACATAAAGTAGGTTATACAGGTGAAGATGATACTTGGTATAGTCCTTATGGGTATTAAGTCAGCCATTAGCTTTGAGATGAAATACGCAGACGTTCTGTAGTACCCACTGATGTATTCATGGCTGGAACACAAAGATACATACAGCACATTGCAAAGTCAGTCACTAAAAACCAGTAGGATTATCTTCACCTGGAGACAAATGAATTTTAACTCAAACTGTAAAAAGAAGAGTTATTTCATGGTTAGACTGTAATGCAGATGTCACGTCTAGTGTGTGGCTTACTGGACATTTTCATATGCAAATGAAGATAGATAGTTGTGCACATAAATTTTAGCAAATGCATGGGTTGTGTTGTCAAAACAGAGTGTAAAGGTTACAGACTTTTCCTTTTCTCTACAGTGCCATCTGCACAGCTTTAAAGAATCCAGTTACATAGTGTTTACTGTCTTCAGTAGCAAGTCACAAACTTGTCAATCAATACCTACACTGAGTATTCAGGGGTTTGTCCTCTGTATGTTTTAAACTCCGAGCCATCTGCAGTCACAGGGACCTTTTTGGGAGTTTGCAGATGTCTCACTAACAGGATGAAGGAGTACATTTGCAGTGAGCACGAGCTCATGGCATTAGCAGCACCTAAATGACAGCTACAGCAGGCAGACAGACAACCTGTCACTGCAGCCCCTGAGAACCCTTCTGCATGCCGTACTCACGTAAATATCTTTTTCTCCACAACAAAGAGTTCAATGGCTGAGATGCTGCTGAAGCACTGGTTGGTGGTCAGGAAGAACATTGCACCCACTCTACAAGAAGCAAAGCAGCAAGCTGTTATTGAATTGTGATGTAAGGGTAGTGCTTCCCCTAGAGCACACACAAGTCCAGCCATAGTGCCTGGCACGGGGCAGAGTGTGACCTCCCAGCCCAAATTCCATGGAAGGCTTGGCTACAGCTCTGAGCCCATGAAAAGCCCAAAGCAGACGTGGTAAGGGCAGTGTCTGTGATCCACACACAAGGATAGTATGTTCTCTGATGCACTTAAAGGATAAAAAACAGCCTCAGTTTGTGAGGCACTTGTCTGATGCAAACTATGAGGAGTTGAATAAGCAATGTGAGAAGTTGCTTTTACCTTTTCCACTAAAATTTAAGGCTTTGCTTTCACACTTTCATATCCCATTTAAAACTGGGCCATTTTTAAGTAAATGCTATGAAGTGTTTCAAGACTAAGATCCCAGAGCTTTCTTGGTTGCAAACCTGTTTCTCAGTTCATGTTCATACAGCTGTCAAAATGACACACAGACCAGAATAATTTTTAAATCTAGCTTTAGGGGTACCTTCTGACTTAACTGCTGGGAAACTCAAGTGTATATATAGCAGTTGGAAGAGCAAAGCTTTAGTTACCCAAGTTTATATAGCCAAGTCTGTATATTTAATCTTTTTATCCTGGGGAAGTCTTTGCAGAAGGGAGATGGAAGTGCTGCCATGCTGAATTCAGACTTTTTAATATGATGTCTGCTGTTCAGCCTTTTCAGCAGCCTGACTGGCACTGCAGAACGTTGTCCTACAGCAGCAGTGTTACTCACTTCACCTGGGCTGCCTGTCAGGCTACAGCGTGGCAGGGCAGAGCTGCAGCCCCCCTCCCTTCTGCCACAGGCAGGACACGCTCGCTCCGGAGCTGCTACCGTGGCTGGGCCTTACCTACTGCTCTGAAGCAAGGGTTCGCCCCTTCTCAGCCTCCGAGCCGCTCACGATCTTGTCACAACAGTGGGAGAGCTTTATCAGCTCCTTGGGCATCCGTTCCCTACCGACTGACCTGTTCTGCAGTCCGGCAGAGTCCTCCGTGAGGCGGAAGAAGATGGCGCCCACCACCAGCCCCAGCACGGCCGTCACACACAGCTGCACGGGGAGAGGAGAGCCCATTCCTGTCAGCCTCGGCAGCCCTGGTCTGCAGCAGGGCAGCGTGCACTGTCAGGGAGTGTTTTCGGGAGGAGAAAGGCCGTGCAGGCTGGGAAGGGAGCCGATGGGGTGGCTGGGGACCTCAGCAGGACGCTGAGCCTCGCGCCGCCGTGCCCGTTGAGAGACGCGGCAGCTCCCCGGTGCCACCTGCCATGCACAGGCTGGAGAGGAGGGAGGGACAGTCCAGGAGCCTCAGCTGCTGCTCGCTCTCCTCTGGTCACACTGCAGGAGGCACGTTCCTGCAGCAGCAGCAGCTTTTCCCTGGCCTGTGGCTGGTGACACCCGAGGGAACTGCCCTGGGAGTGCCAGGAGGGTGTGAGCACCAGCGATGGGAGAGGCTTGACAGCAAGGCTTGGAGGGGCAGGTTAGAAAGAGAGAGTAGCACCTTTCCCCAGAGGAACCCCAGCATCACAAGCACCCCAGCCCAAGCTTCTTTCCCCTGCTACTGTTTCAGCCATTCTTGGGTTATGTTAATTGGTGATAGGTTGCAGCATCCTCATTTACAGCTTGGGGATGACAGTTTATTTTCATGCCCCACAGTATGTAATTGCTGGGCTCTATCACACATGTTATTCATGGGATTGTTTTTCAGATGAGCATGATAATAAAATTGGGCTATAGGTATACTGTATTTGCTGTCTGTAACACAATTTAAGTAGATACCAACAGCCTCAGGGATATAATTTAAAAGACTGAAGTGTGTCCATCACATATTTTCAATGCTAAGTGCAAATGACAGCAAACTCACACTCAGCAAAACAGATGGTCTCAGGCAGTTCTGTCAGTTTTAAGCCCAAGCAATGCATGAGTCTTAACACTACAAACACTTGATCCCTGGTACCCTGTCACTAAGATCCTGCCAAAAGGAGCAAGTGTCAGGGATAATTCAGCTCCTAAGCCAATTGCAGTGGAAAGCAGGAATCATATCAAGGCCAATCTGGAGCAGATTAATGAAAAAGGCTTAATGAGCCATGTTCCTCTAAAGGAATGCTTGTAAAATCCACCCCTAATGAGGGTGGGGAGATAGAACAGATTGTGAGAAACAAGTCAGGACCATTAACCTTGGGGGGATTATGAGATCCTTGGGCGTCTAATTCTTGTCACAAGGTCAAGCTTTTACAAAGCAATTATTAAGGATCTCTATAGTATCAGCATACACACACACACACTCTCAAAGCCTTTTAACCTCAGGGATTTTGGACTAATTTTCTCTCCACACTGGCCATTTATTCAGTCATTATATGAACCATGATGAAGATAATTTTTACCCCTGGCTCTGGACCAGTTTTTCTATTGGCTCCTCTGGAATTGCTGAGAATTGCAGGGGTGGTTTTGCTGGTGCTGAGACTGCAGAGTTCAGCTCATGAGTGAGGGGTTCCTGGGGATTAGCTGCTCTGCAGAGCTCTGCCAGGCTCTGTTTGGGTTTGAAACCAATGTGCAGCTTTAAAGAAGTCAATGCTTTTGGTGCTGATTCTTCTGAACAAGCAGCACGGACAGGGCCATTCATGTACAACAGGCTCATCTTCTGAGGCAGCTGTTAGACCCTGTTGTGGTCTGCATAACCTCTCCAGAAGACATGGCCATTGTGAACAATGACCAAACAACACACACATTACCAAGCTATGAAAATACCTTTACTTGAGCCAGCTGCCAGCACTTTGGTATGTGCTGAAGTTCTATGAAGTCTGCAGGTGTAGTCTGTAAGTCTCCCTGCTGGGGGACACCACAGTGCCAAGGACAATTGGAGGACAGTTATTATCAAGTCTAAGGAATGTTCTTGAGCAGATGTGTGAAACTGCTTGGGAGATATCTGCTCCTGGATAGGAGCAGCAGAATACCCTACTGCAACAGATCTTGCCTCTCAAAGGCTTTCAGCAGTGCAGTGAGTTACTGCTGCTCATCTGGGAGCGTCCAGGACACCTTCTGGTGAATCAGATTTCCAGACCTTGAGCACTCTTTTTTCAGATACGCTCTGAAGTCAAAATATCAAGAGGCAAACTCATCCCAACGACTTATCTAATCGAGTGGAATAAATTCAACACACACCCCAACAGGACAGGTACAAATGGCATTACCTGAGCTATGGAAGCTTGAGGGTTTCCTAGCAGATTTTTGACTGTGCGCCTGGACACCCATTTCAGCTGGTGGAGGAAGGAGTTGGCGTATGTGATCTGCCGGAAAAGTGCCTTGGTTTTCTTTTTATTTCCAAGAGAGATGTTCTCTAATACTGCTTTTGTTTCTTGGTAGTAGGCAGAGTTGGAGTATTTTTCTGCTAACCTCTCAGCCAAGGTTTTATCATATTCAGGGTGTTCTTCAGTACTTTCTGCTGGAAAAGATTAAAAAGAAATACGACTTTTTCTGTAAGAGATGGAAAGATTGTTTAGGAGTCACACCAGGAGAGCTGTGGGGGGTGGGAGAGCTACTAATGAGCCAGAAGGACTGTTGTGCACACTTAGTTCCAGTGATTCACTGCACTTAGTCTCATAGCATAAGTTCAGAAGAGTTGCTATAAATAAGACCAAATCTCTGCGTTTTTCTGTGCAGTCTGTCCCACAGGCAGTGGCTTCAGAATAGAGTGTCTGCAAGTGAAGTTTCAAACTGGCAGCAATCTGACTTTCAATAAAAAAGTGATTTCCTGTGCCAGGTTTCTGTAAGTGATCTGTTTCCCAGGTTGGATGAGATAATCCTAGACCTCCCAGACTGTCAGATCCAGGTAATCCTGCATGTGTCTACTTCAGTCAAGCTTTTGTGTGTGTCATAAAGAAATTTCAGCTGGAGCTCCTTTTTTTTTCCCTTAAGCTGTAGCCCAGCATGTGTTTTTCCAACGACAAATAGTGCTTGTGTTGCCAGCTATAATATTAATCAGACCCTGAACAGAGTCAGCATTTTTGTAATATGCTGGTTGCTTTACTGGTAAAGATACAGTGAAACTGTTTCAGGGCACATATCATATTTATTATTTCATTTCCTTTTTCTCTGATGTGGAAAGAGACTGTGCTATTAACGAGTAGCAACAGGCAGGGTGAATAAGCATGCTGCTGAATGCAAGTGAGATTTGATTAGCTAGTTAGGGAATAATTTCTGCCTTACCACAACTTCAGGGAAGCATCATGAGAACACTGGTCCCCTATCTCTGTTCCCTCTTCCTACTCTACACAGAGGAAGAAAACCAGTAATTTCATAGCAGATAAACCACTCCATTAGGTAAAAAATACTGCATCAGAACTGCCTCAGATTATGTCTGTAGGTGGAACAGTTGTCCTGGTTTACTGTCTCTGCTTCTGCAGGACTTTAGCTGGTTTGCCTTGAAGATGAAGGCTCTCACTCTGTGTTGAGAGATAACAAAACAGTTTCTTACATTCCCAGACATTGTAACTGCAACACAGGAAAATAATCTTTTACTTTAACATCTCATAATTTGAGTGTGACACAAAAGTATACAGGTTAGTTTATGAAGAAATGGATAGCAATGATAAATCACTAAATACCTATTTATGAGAGGCAAACTACTCCTGCAGAGACAGATTTCATATAGTAGGGCTGTAAGTGAATTTGGTAATTATTTCAGGTTATGCTAATTATTTTCCATGTACAAACAAAAAGGCTCTAGGCACAATGTGGGTTTATTTTCTCCTTTAGAGCAGTGTGGGTCAGCAGTGTGCAGCACTCTCACGCACAGCACCGTGCGCTTGCACGACCTGATCTGACACCTGGAGTGGTGTTTCTGACGGGCACCTTCTGGCATGACAGACAGCACCACAGGTCCATACCTGTCCTGGCCTCCTCGGGCTTGCTGGTGGCCACGGCAGTGGAGTCCCCGTTGATGACGTCGAGGAAGAAGTCGGCGGGGTTGTTGTAGGGCTCGCAGTGGTACCCTGCAGTGAGAGCAGGGCCCTGTGAGGGTGCTGGGGCAGGCTGTGTGTGCCACACCCCACACCAGTGTGCCCGTGGGGCAGCGTGCCCCGTCAGCACCGCGGGCTCCCAGCGGCCCCTGCCCACCCCAGGGATGGACGGCGCTGCCCTCAGGGGGGCAGGGAGCTGCCACTGGGTCCTTCTCAGCCCTCCCAGGGCTCTGGCTGATTAACATGGGCCCAGAACAGTCGGTTAGAGCTCAGCCCTGTCATCCAAGCCCACGTATGGGCCAAGAGGTGAAACACCACGAGAAATGCTCAGCCTGTTACAACCCTGGGCTTGCATGACCAGTTCTGGTCCAGCGCTGCTGTCAGGGGGGCAGGGAGCTGCCACTGGGTCCTTCTCAGCCCTCCCAGGGCTCTGGCTGATTAACATGGGCCCAGAACAGTCGGTTAGAGCTCAGCCCTGTCATCCAAGCCCACGTATGGGCCAAGAGGTGAAACACCACGAGAAATGCTCAGCCTGTTACAACCCTGGGCTTGCATGACCAGTTCTGGTCCAGCGCTGCTGGCGTTTTGTGCCAGCACACTAGGGCTGGTGCTGCTGCCAGCTGTGCTCACCGAGGCCCGTGATGTCCTGAGCGGCGCGCCGGG